TCCTCCTCCCTCCTCCTCCTCCTCCTCCTCCTCGCAGAATCGTAAATAGCTCTGGCTTGTCGGTAATGCAACAAAACGATACGAGAAAACGTGTCTCTTCCCGACCAACATCGAAAGCGTGTCGACGATTGCGTGAAATTTAACTTCTCGTCGTGGTTCACCAGATTCGCCAGCGGGACATGAGATTTACGCAAATTATCGACTACCCGCGACCTTTTCGCGAAGCATTCGATCTCGATCCCGTTGATCGACATGATTTTCCCGATGCGCACGATAGAACGGTACAAAATCGTATTCGTTTGAAGCATTCGTATAAATATTTTCTCCTAGAATAATCTTTTTAAAAAAATTTTTAATAAATCTATCAACGTATTTCAGTGAAAATTGATAAATAAATATGTAGTGAAAATTGGTAAATAAAAGTGAAAATTGGTAAATAAATATGTAAATATATTTATTTACCAATTTTCAATTTTCTTCAAGATATATATAACACATTTTTTTCAAACAAATATTTCATGGTTCTATATCTGATTAACCAATTACCATTTCATTACAAATAGTAAATAAACAATGTATAACAGGAGCATGTCTAAAAAATAAAGAGATTTCTCTTGTTATTACGATGTCGTAAAATAAATCGCGGGGATTTGCGGTATTCCCGATTGTGCTCGTTGAACCTACAGCAGGAAGCGGAAGCAACAGACGACGCGACACTGCCGTGCCGGAAGCGATAGTTAACCGACCGTCAAGCTCTTCCTATTTTTTGCCGTGAAAAATGATGGGGCGTAACAACCAAGTGCCCTCGATAGCGGGTTTTTATTTTGTACCTGTGCGATTATACGGCGGCGATTCATCGGGATGGAACAGCGATAAAAAGAGGAGTGTCTCGATCAGTATTTTGTTCCGTCAGCAGATACAATTTGACGATCGTGATAGCAAGTGAATTTTTTTTTTTAATATCACAGAAGAGTACATTTTTCTACTCACCTTGAGATAAGACCCATAATACTTGGTGACGTACGGGCTGTCGCATTGCGACAGCACCATAATCTCCTGCTGTATGTCCTCGATCTCATCTTCCGCCTCCTCAAGATCGATGATCTTGATGGCAACGACCTGCTGAGTCCTGTTGTCGATACCCTTGAAGACTTCGCCGAAGCTACCCTTCCCAATTCGTTCCTGTTTTGTAAATATCAGCTCGGGGTCCACCTTCTGCAACAGAAATTCAACGGTCTCCGGTTATCACTCGTTCGACATTTCGCATCGCTTTCGCATTATTCTCACGCGTCATTTCCGTAAAAAGATCCGTGGATGTTGCCCTGACGCAACGACATAACGGGATATTGTGAAATTTCGAGATTCCTCAGGCACAAGACTTTCTTCTTCGATAATGCGCGGCCTTCAGGGATCTTAATGAATGCAGTTATCCTACAAGCAGCAATGCAGTTCTCCTTGGCTCTTTTCTACGAGATGACACAACGAGATGTCATAACGATCTTGCGTACCATCAGAAAAATGTACGAATCGATTTTATATTCTTCGCGAAAATCTGAATAAATTCTATGTCTGTTTAATAATTCCGCGCAACACCCCGGTACCTCACAAATTACACGTACGAATATACGCGTTGTGGACTGTGTGGTTATCCAGTTGCACTTGTAGCAAATTATGGCAACGGGATATCTCACAGCTCGGGCAGCTTGATAAATGAAACGTTCTCTCGTCTAATCCACTGTTTAGACTTACGGATGAGCGTCGTGCATGCTCGTTTCTTCTTTGCGCTCTGAAGCTATCTGCACTAAGCAACGACGTTGCTCCGGGAGACATTAATAAATTACCGCCACTGTTTCGCGCTCTCCGTGTCTCGACAACGAAAAAGCTCTTACGTTCTCTCCCTCTGACACTTTTCCGCCCATTGGCATCCGGAAATGTGTTTAACACGCCGAATAGCAAGTCGCCTTCGGGACAGGATTTTCGGAACCGCTGGTAGCAACAAAAAAAGAAAAATTCTAAAATTTATCAATTTTCCCTACCAATTTTCTCCGGAAATTTCCGAGAGCAATCTGCGAAACGCGAAGGAATGTTTTTAACATCGAAAATCGTCCTGATTCTCACGAGAAAGCTTACTCCATAATAAAAATGTATTTATGTATGTTACACATGTATTTATGTATATTACAGAAACGCAGTCTTGCTGTTTCCACATATTCTTTGTACTCGTTTGCAAGCCAGAGCACAGAAAAATAGTCTAAAACTGGTGTTGTCTCGAATGCAACGTTCAATGTTTCACTCTAATTAGACGCTGCATCTTTTATGCGACTTTCGCGAGATTATCTAATTCGCCGTACATTTCTAGAATTTTTTCTAAAGTTGATTTCCAGTTGATAAAATAAGATGGATAAGCCGGCTAATTGTACTTGAAATCTTGAAAAATAGTACGATGTGCACTGTAAGTTTTTCCCTGACAAATCATGCGGATGAAAAACTCTTTTCCTTTTATTTCTTCCTCTTCGCATTTCCCGGTGAATTACGTTCATTGATAAGCAACAAACGACGAAAACGTCGAAAAACACTAATTTGTCGTCACAGCATCCGGGTTAATAATGAATATGCACATGAGCTCTTGTGTGCCTGCGCGGGGCTGACTCTTCATTTTCTTCCTGCGCTCGCAATCCACATATCGTACAAAAAGTCAGTAAACCGAAAGCTCATATCACGGCGGCGAGATTAAAGCGAGGATTGAAGCTTCGAATGCCCTGGGATGGGCTCTAAAGGCAACGGAATAAAAATTCGTGACTGTCGGTAAAACCCCGGAAAATTTGCTTTGCAAATTCCCTCATATATCCTACGGCGGTGTTTCGTGACTGCCGTTTTATCGCGCTGATGGATTTAAAGATCATTGATTTTCGTCGGTGGATCTCGATCATTTCCATTTCGCGTAACTAGGATCATCGACTCTTTCTCGTAAAAATCGATATTTTAAACCGACTCTATGAAATTACGCTATCATCGCTCACTCGGCGCTATTCTATGACATTATTCTAGGATTATCGTGATTCACTATGTGATAACTAGATTGACAAAAATTAGCATAGTGCAAATTTGTGGTCTTATTACATGACAGAGTGCAATCTCTCGCATGTATCTGACAAGTCACGTTAATTTGCGTTTAATCCCCGTTTACCACAAGCATATCTATAGACGTTATCGTATTCATTAATGCGAAATATTTGACGTAATGCTATGAAAACAGACAGGATAAGTTTTAAGCTAAGTACATAATTGTAGAGCAAATCGAGATGCAATGGCAGGAAAAAAAGATCGCTTTTCGATCGTAAGTTTCGAGTTTAAATCGAGCAATCGCTATATATGCAATCGCTATATATGGACTCTGAAATTCGTGCTCGCTTGACTCGGCGACGGCGACGATGACGGCGAATGAGACGGCGGGTAAGAAGATGATGACTCTCGACTTCGTGTGCGATACCTGCATCGTCGAGATGCACCGAGCGTCTCTCCTTTCCCGTGGGCGCCGCCCCTTCCGAAACTCGCGAACACAGATTCTAATTAGCAGCTGTCAAAAAGAAATCCGGTACGTGACCGCACGTTCGAGGGACGCGACAAAGATATTCACGTCGCGTAAGTAGAATACTGGATGTTCCTCTTTCGATATTATTTCAGGAGAGTTCGACGTTCGGATTCCTCCTTTTCCCCTCGTTCTCGCTCTGTTGAGAAACTCTAATTTTTCAGCGGAAATATTATCCATCGTTAATAAGGCTATTTCGTAAATGGGCTCTTCGCGATATTGAGGAAGGGAAATTTCCGGGACGTTGTATTTGCGGCGCCATAATGATGCTTTAGAGCCGACAGAGCCTCTCATCTTATTAGATTAGTTTGGGCAGCGACTCGCGCTTTGATGGACACGCCTATTCTAAACTACATTAGCTACGCCACGTTGTATATAACGCGTTTGCCGTCGAACCGTCTTCGACCCAGATACGACCCAGATACCGGCGGATATGACGAAATTGACGTAGGGTTGCCAAGGGCGCTCAATTAACGACCGTACATAGGCTTTGTCCTATTGTGCCGCGACTGTCAGCCATCTGCGATTCACAAAATTGCGCAATACAATAAATAATATATCACGGCACAGTGGTGATATACGTCGGCGAATTAACCGCGTCCTGCCGTGTAAATTGTAGCTGGATTAGAGAATGCTACAGCGGCTTTTCTCGTCCGAGCATATGTTACACTCGGCATTAATTGCTAATTAATATCAGGGGATACGCGAAATTAATTTGGAGGCTAAATTAACGTAAATATTTCATATGAAATATCGTCTCCGCTAGGACCACGCGCGATACGTTAATTTTAAATTAACGTATCGTGAATATGATTTGTGAATATCATGAAGTTATGTCACGTAACGAATAGGAGATTAATGAAGAATGACGTTTATTTGTATAAATATGACTACATATTTACATCACATTTGAAACATATCCGTCTCCCGGAAAAATATTCCGCGTTGAGTTTTCCACATTAAATCCTCCACCACTGCGAATGATATTCATTAAATATACTCGAATTAAGCTAAAATCCTTTTCCCTTAACGCCGCGCGATGAAGATTCCATTTAAACGATATCGCCTCGCTGAACACGCGACTGAAATAATTTGCCAGATAACGCAAAGTTTGGTATCGTTCTGACACATCTTAATTAAGAAGTGTAACCGCGTCTCAAGAAATTTCGTCCCAGACGTCCTTTTAAGAGACAGCCTCGAATAGACTCGCCGCCTTCCAAGATAAACGTCTCAACTCCATCAGGAAGCTCAAGACTGTCAGACTACAACGGGATCGCATTAATTCCAAGGAGCTGCGATTGTTCTCCCTCGAGATGGGAACGAGCCGATACCTATTTGCAATACTCCAGCGATTCAATGAAATAACGGTCCAATTTGGTTGCATATCCAGCGCTCGGAATAAATAAGACATCATCAACGACAAATCACAAAGACGAAACTTCTGCT